CAACCGACATCCCTCTGTTTTCGTTTTAACCAGGCACCCGTGTCGGCCGAGACGCAGACGATCACGTTTGCAAACGTAAGGCCGGACACTTTCCACAGCTCCTGGATCATCGTGTACTTGTCGCAACTCCATAGAATGCGCCGGCGTAAGATGTTCTGCCCTCTCAGTGCCGCCTGTCGATGATGCTTTTGATGTTCGCAAGAGTGGTGCGTTGGCCAGCGTGACTCCCAGATATCTATTCGGAGAGCAAGTCGTCTGCTCCTTACGCTGGGGTTGCGGTGACGTCAGATGAGTTCTGATTGGCTTTGATCGGAAGCATAGTGGGGAGACTTCAATGCTTGATGCCTTCAGGTCTACCCACTATCCTTCCAACCAGAGCCAATCAGAGCTCGGCGTCCTGGCATACCCCTGTGCAAGAAGTAGGCGAACTTGCGCTCCACATACCTTTCTATCATCATGGCATCTTCCGTCTGCAGTTTCAGTACTTTTGCTGTCAGCACGGTGCCCGGATAATTGGACCATATGCTGACTTCTGGGCCCGTTTGCTCGAAGCGCTAACCGTGGCTAAAGTTAGCCGCAGTACCTAGGAGAGGGATTTTGAAATCACGTGACTGGCTCTGTAGGGATGCGGGAAAACATGGCGGTGCCCCAGTGAGTGAGCGCCGCTCGCTTTAAAACTAATATGTCGTTGTAGTTGCAATATCGCGCGCGTTGGTCAGCCCCTCACTTACCCTCATCCTCACAGTTACACTCACGTTCAGCCCTTCACTCACCCTCACTGAGCCTCACGCCCTTCACGCACTCACCGCCCTCATGCACTCATGGCCTTCACGCCCCTCACCGCCCTCACACACATACACCCCTCACGCCCCTCATGCACTCATGGCCCTCATGCCACTCAGGCCAGCTTCAGATGGGGCGATTTCGCCCAGAAACTTGACGTCGCAACACCAGCAACACGGGACGCCCGCGTTCACACGCAGCAACCAATTGCTGCAATTTGCCATCATCATCAAGAAATTTTGTTTTCTTGCACTATTTAGACACACAATTACGCGCTATAAACGTGTTACGCGCTATAAACGTGTTATTACGTGAATACATCGCGTCCCTGAATTGATGCAGCCGCTTCAAACGTCTTCGTATTGCTCCGAGTTGCTCGCTTGTTTCGAGCCGGACCCGATCTCAACAATTCGTGTCGATCTAGGGAAAGCTAGGGAACAACCCGCCAGCAACACCAAAATTGATGAGAAAGTTGCTCCGTCTGAAGGGGGCCTCGCACCCCCCACGCACTCATGCCACTCACACACTCACCGCCCTCACGCCCCTCACGCACTCATGGCCCTCACACCCCTCACGCACTCATGGCCCTCACGCCACTCACCGCCCTCACGCCCCTCACTCACACTTTCACATGAATTTTCCTGGTTCAGAAACTCACTCACCCTCACCTCACCTGTGAAAATGAGGGTGAGTGAGGGTGAGTGAGGACACTCATGAGTGAGTTTTGCCGAGGTATGCCTCGGGCTACTGGTTCTTTTCTCGTCGTCTTTGAAAACCATGTTTCGGGTCCTCGCCGCTGCAGAAGCTGTGCGCTGAATACAGGCTCCCCGAGAAGGCTCCGTGCTACCAGAGCCTCGCGCTCCAAATCTGCGACTGGGCACTCTATGGCTCCGTCGTCGAACTGCGAGGAGGCAATGGCCGTACTTTACGCATTGCTGCTGCACGACTGTCCGGAAAGAGACCCAGGTTTGGTCGCTTAATGTACACCGTGAGTAACCTTTGGGGCCTCCGTTCTATTCCCGGAGAAACGCAGCAGCGTGTGTGCTAGCGAACTCCTGTTGCAACCAAAGGTACTTGAGCGCCGATGAAAGCTAAGCACGCACCCTCCCTCGTCGAAAATGCCACAGAGAGTTGCCAGCTCGGGGCACCTGGAGTGAAAGCTCGAGCCCCAGGGATCCTGGGTTCAATCCCTCCCGTTTCTGTCTGAGTGGTGTTGAGACCGTGCGGTGTCCGCGGTGGTGGAGGGGCGACTCGAGCCAGGCACCAGGCTCAGCGGGAACGACGAGGAGCCGCGACTCTCTCTCGAAAAGTACACTGTTTATTTACATGATGTACTTAGTTGGTTCAAAATCGGAGATGTCTAGCAGCCGTCCACTGCCCCTTTTTCTAGGAGTTCCCTTTGCACACGCCCCTAGCTCGTTGACCAATGGCAGTGACTTCAGAGTCCCCACTCTTTCCTGCATCGGCACGCACAGCACACACAAACGGTTGGCGCCGAGGCACCGTTGCGCTGTCGCTCGTAAAGGCACGAGGGCGACGAGGGCGCGGGGAACCTCTAATCACCCCCGCGCCGAAAGCAATACCTTCGGCCTTCGGCATCGCAATGATCGCCGCCGCGCCAAAACGATACCGGCGATACCTTGGGCATCGCACTTTTTATTGTTCTTGGCTGGAGCCGATAAGCGTCGGTCGCGTCGCCGCCGGTTGTTCTCCGGATTTCGTCTCTCGGCGAACCTGCCTGGGATTAAAAGTCTGTCTGCCCTGCTTCCGGTGTCGTATTCTCGCCTTCGCCCCGGATCCTCGCTCGGAATCCGTCGACAATATTGGGCCGGCTGATTGATCTCATGCGGCGATTGCACCCCGCCACGGGCCGCCATACGCAACAATAGGGAGTTTTCGTAGACCGCGTTTCCCCCTCCGCTAAGCCCTCCGCAACGGAGAAGCCGCTACTGCGCCGGCGCGCCGATGGCCTTGACTGTAGAGTTCCGGCTAGCGTAGCTGGTTGCGGAGGGCGTTGCGGGACAGCGGAAACGATCTTCGAAAACTCCCTAATAGGGAGTTTCAGAACAGCGCACGCTAGAGCTTTGTGTGAGCAAAGAATAGCGTCGTCGCCACTGCGCATGCCCCGAACGCTAACCACGTTTTGCGCTTTGCGTGCGCTATTTTAGCGTACGCTACTTCTCGGAAATTGCGTGCGTACGCAAAGGGTCTTGCACTCCTCCGAGGTGGATTCGCAATGAGAAGTTGGCTAGAGCCGAGACGACGCGCGAACAATTGCGACGCGCGAACAATTATCGGCGAAGGTACGCCCGGTATGCGAAGGTCAGGACACGAGACCTCTCTTGCCGAGGCAACGCAAGCGGACACGACCGGTCGATCGCTCGCGTCGCCTTCTCACATTTAAACAGGTCTAAAATGTTACTCTAAACCCCCCCCCCCCAAAAAAAAAAAAAAAAAAAATATATATATATATTTTTTTTTATTTACAGCATTTTGTGCGTGAAATAAAAATTGTCACTATTTTGATGATGGCATTGCATGCGCGAGATGCTGGGGGTTTTGCGTCGCAGCGGAGAAACTCTGTTCTAAAACTGTCTTGCGTAGCGTACGCTAACGCAAAAGAGGTCTCGTGTCCTGACCTTCGCATTGAGCGCTTGCGTTAGCGTACGCTAACGCAAGCGCTAAATTTAGCGCTAGCTTGCGCTAAAATAGCGTAAGTTATTCTAAAACTCCCTAATGGTCATCGTACCGACGTCCATTGCTAGTGTTGTAGGCGTTACCGAAAATAAAGTAACGAAATACGTTACTCGTTACTTGCAAGATAAAAGACCGCGTTACCGACCTACCTAACCTCAAATGGTACCAATCAAACAGCGTCACAAATCTAAATCACTAGGTCTTTTTTTTTTTTGTTGTTTATGATTGGTTTGGCGATGATAGAACACGTACGGAAACACAACGAACAACCATGACGGGCCCTTTTGACTCTTTTCTGAATGTTCGCATCAGCTCGTAGCGTCGGCTGCATATGGACTTACTGTAAAACTAATTTTAAAAACACGAAAAAAAAATTGAAGTGTACTTTTTCTTGAGTCAAGTTATGAAAAGACGTAATTGTTGAACTCCGTTATTCGTTACATGAAATAAGTAACATAAGCATGGTACCCGTTCCTGTTTAAAAAAAAAAGTAACGAGAGCGTTACTACGTTACTAGACAAAGTAACGGGTTGCCGCTGACGACGTTACTTCTAATAATGCGTTACCGCCAACACCGATCACTACGTGCGATGCACGTTAAATATCCCAAGCAATACGGAACGGGCAAAATTTCTCACGTACAGCTGAGACAGCAGGACGCCCGTTGAAGCTCCCGCGGCACAGTTAAAATGTCTTATTTTTGAGCTAAACAATCTTTCTCACGAACTATGGTCTGGGACTCGGCGCTCCCATGAGGTTATCCTAATGCGTCGTAGCTTGTATGGGAGACAGGGTGCCCTTTGACAAAGTGCAAAAGGCAGAGAGGAGCTTTAGCTGTCCCGCCTCTTCGAGAACGTTTCGGCATCAGCCAAAGCACGGCGGAAGGCATGGCGCGCGCGTTTTGGACACTAGGCGTTCGAAAGACACGTCCTGACGTCCTCATCCTCTCAGTGCCTGTTGCGCTTAATATTCGTGCAGCGAACTAAAAGCCGCTCAGAGAATTTCGCAGCGGCCTTTATTTGAAAACGGTGACCGAGAGTGCTTCGAAGCAGCGGTTCTCGAAAGTCGAAAATTGGAACGCAGAGGCCAAATAAACGGGCCGCGCAGACCCGCGTCTTCTAAAAACAAACCTCCCCGACGCAGCCGACGCGGCCCGCGCGTTCTAAACAATCCGAAAACGAAACTACCAGCGGAGAGCAGACGGCCGCAACAGCCGCAAGCAAACGGCTTCGAGGGCGGGCGCCTCGCAATCGTGACGTACACTGCTCTGACGTCGTTGAAAAAAAGCACGGGGAGAAAAGGACGTTGGAGAGCCTAGAAGTAGAGAGAGTGCATCTCAGACCACGGGGCTCGTTTGCAATTTAATGGCGGACGCCTCCGTAGTGCGAACGCAGCTCATAAACCACGTGGCTCCGACCGATAGTTGGACATTCTCTGTAATACAGGCTCTCTGAAGAGTTATACCGGCCGCCACCAACGCGACTGGCGCCACAATCGTGCCTTCGCGTTTTTTTTTTTTTACTTTTAATTTTTTTTTCTTTTGTTTTGTACATATAGTCGACGTAGCGCCGCGCCGCGTTGCGCGCCAAGCATTTGTCTCGCGTGGCTGTTTTGGTGGGAAGCTGTTGGTTGTCCGTGCGTTTTGCGCCGTAAAAGCAGTGAAAGTTCGGAAGAACCCCGCATTGTTCGCGTACGACAACGAGCTTGGATTAAGAGAGAATCATGGTGTACTTCACGCATTGCTGCTGCGGCTGCATGACGGTCCGAACAGGCACCAAAGTGTTGGCCATCCTCAGCGTTGTGAGTACCCGCGTCTTGTTTCCCATATTTTTTGGGGGGCGGTGTCTGTTTTCGTGAGAGGATGCGTTTGGCCTTGGCGCGTTTCGTTGCGCTGTGGCAAAACGCTATTTCGCGGCTGAGTCGCAAGCTCGTATTTCACGCCGCCACTGCCGTGGCTTGCGAGGCAGTAGGAATAAACGCTGTTTTTCGACGTGAGCGCGTTGGTGAAGTTAAATAAAAGCTGAAAATAAACATAGGGACGGACAGAACAGCACCTCTTTCTGTTCTGCAGATAATTCTTACGCGAAGTATTGCCAGGGCCGGCCTATCAATAGGGGGGCGCCGCCGAGCCCCTCTTTTGAAATTACCTTAGCTTTTTTTATTTATTTGAACACAGCGCCCTTCGTCTTCAGAATGCGGTTATCGTCTGACGAAAAACGCTTGTGTTGGGCTCACTTGCTTACTAACAACGTGATGTCTTACCTAAGCCGCAAACTGCCACGGCCGGAGTTCGCCCAGGGCGCTTGATGATGTAAGGCCGGGCCTGCGTATCGCGACCGTGTTGCTTCTACCATTTGCAATGCAAGTTACGCACGAACTTGGAGTCGACTTCAGCGTGGTTAGCACGTGGGCTGGACGACTGGGTGGGGTTGCATCGCGAATGCCGTTTCTCATCGAACGACGTTTTAGCGAAGCGTCTACGAAAGCTTTTTTCTTTTTTGAAAGCTGTTTGAAATGTAGCGGGCGCATGAACCTTGTACCATTTTTGGTATCGGTAGAAAATGTAGATGCTCGCTTCACTCTCAGAATTATGCGCTCGGCCCGTTTGTTTTCGTAACGAATTTGTCCATAGTCTCTCAGGGTGCGAACGGCAGGAAGGAGTTTCAACTGTCCCGCCCCCAGCGCGAACTTTATGCCTCCGATAACGCTTCGGCGTGTCGTGGGTCTCGAGCGTGCTCGCTCAGCCAAAGCACAGTGGAAGGCAACGAACGCGTGCTAGAGGCCGAGCGTTCGAAAGAGCGGAAAACTCTTCGGGCAAAAAAGAAAATAATCTCGATGGTGTAAGTCACAAGAAAGTGGAAGAAATATCCCCGTGTGGTCATGCTACCAAAGAGAAAAGTGCATCGACGGCGAGCGCTTTTAGCGAGCGCGTCCCTGTCGCGCCACGGTTTGCAAAGTTTCGGAGTGCACGCAAGTAGGTAGCCCGTAATCTGCCCCTTTGTTTCTTTTCTGTACGCTCGTTGGGTGTAGTACAGGCAAAGGCAACGCCAGGCGTGGGGAGAAGGGTAAGCAGTAGAAAGGCTGTGGAGGAGGAGAGCAACCTTCTTTCCTTCCTCACGTTCCTAGCTCCTATATTCCATGTCACTAGTTCTGTGCAGTGCAGGCGAAGGCAACGGCCAGGCGAAGAGAGAAAGGGCGAGCACTAGGAAGGCGGCACGGGAGAGGAGGGCAATGGAGGGCGGGGGGAGAAAGGGAGAGCACTATACTTTGTTTCATCTTCGGCCCGAGCGTGGCTGATGTTATGAGCCGAAAGGCCAATCAAACAGCGAAAAAAAAGCGCAGCGTCACGGCGTTTTCTCAACGCTGTATTGTGTATATTCTGTACATATATATGTCTGTTATGTTTTTTTCACATGTGGTGGCGGGCTGGCAGGCGCTCTGCGTAAGGGTTTTTCACCTATCTGCCTAGCCCCGCACACCACCACATGTGCCCATTCCAGTATGTGCAAATAAAATTATTATTATTGATAGGACTAGCCGGCGGATGAGCGCGCACAGAGACGGCAAATACCGGCTGGTCCTATCAACTGCAGAGAGGACGCCATGACGTTGTGCCTTTTTCGCTGTTTGATTGGCCCCTCGGCTCATAACATCGGCCACGCTCGGACTAAAGCTGGAACGAAGTTGTTTTTTATTTTTTTTTATTTGTAGGAGCGGTGGAGAGCAGAGGGGCGTTTCTCTCCCCGTCCCCAGCCTTACTGGTGCTTGCCTTTTCTCCCCTTGTCTGCACTGCGCAAGAACAATAAAGCATCAAGAAAAGCCTTCTTATCATTTTGGTAAGACACTGAAAGCGCGATGTTGTCATTTTCTGTTTATTTAATTTTATTTGTTTTCCCGGGTAGGACAGATGCTGACACACTCCTGTAAACGACGGGTGTAGCACGATTGCCCCCCGTGCAGAATCCGTGTCGCAAAAACCCCGCGTCGTTAGCCCCACGTTTCGAAAACTCCGCTTTCAATTGCTCCGTCCCGTATTCTCCCCGTGCCGAGCCGCCGTCCCACCCTGAAGCGCAGACGTGAACGTGAATCGCGTAAGAACTTGGAAAAGCCTTGGTTCAAAAGCTTATTGATAAAAACTGCTTTGAAATGTTTTGCCAGTGACTGATTTTTTCTATTTGATCTCACTTATAAGTTATAACGTCACAAGACGTCAATATGTATAGCGTGTACGCCTGAAGAACGGGAAGCTTGATCCAGTTAACCCTTACATGAGTCCCGGTTACGGCATGATTACGTCACACAAGCTCGCGTGCATACCTACTGTTAGTGAAAAGCAGAATGCTCCGCCGTCAGATTGAGGACCCGGCCACCTGACACGGGGGATTCGTGCGATGGGCTTCTGAAACTGCGGCTTTTGAAGGCGAGTCAAAAAGGCCGGGCCGTTTGCCACGGGGCTTTTGACATCTGATGCTTTCGTGTGCCACTCGTAAAGGACCATGACTCGTGCAAAATCGAACATTGCAGTACCTCTTTTTGCTCAATGTGAGCATTACTTGATCGCGTCTTTCAGCCGGAAGCAACAGGCCTATTTATTGATTGTGCTCGCACAATGTTCACCCGACCACGTCGACGCTGCTCTTGTTCCTAAAATCACCTCAGTTACCGGAGGTAAACACCGTTCGCTAAAAATAAAAGGAACTCCGCCAATCGCTAGAACTTCGACCAAGAACCCTAAATAAAACTTGGGCGTTTTACATGCACATTTACAACCATGGTGTCTCGCGCAACAAAACATCGATTAGTGTTGTTGTGCTTGCATCGTGGTGTGAAAGTGGATAAGCGAGTAGATGGCACGAGAGAAAGTAGGCCACGGCTGCAACCGACGTCACTACCGGATTTTACGGGTCTTGTTGGGCGCCCTAATCGTTGGCGGGAGCGCTAATTAAAACTTGGGTCATTTGGACAGCCTTGACCTACTCTCGAAAACAACAAACGAAAGCAATGCGAGTTGGACAGACGCTTCAATTATTCCCGTCGGCTCGCGCGAGCAGACGACGCGCTTCCAAGGTCTTCAACAGACGACGCCATGGAGACGGATTCTCTGTTGGTTCGTTTCTCGTGCGCGTAGTGGAGGATGATGATCGATTGATCCGTCTCGCGCTCCAACAAGACATACAACCAACAACGCACAGCTCTGCCCCCTCCTGTTTTTCATTTCCATTGCAACGCTGTTTTCTTTTTTTTGATGGAAGAGTTTATGTAAGCTTGTGTCTCGTTCCTTTTAAAACATTTTGTGACACAAATTCTCACTGTTGCCATTTGCGGGGTAGGGGGTACTGCAGTGGTCATATTTTGTAGTGACGCTCTTTTCAATGGGTTTTTTTGCGGATCTGCTTTTGTTGAGGTATATGATGGAAAAAATAAGCGACTTACTCGGAAACCAGCGCGTCAGCGTCAAGCATTTCCGTCTACCCACGAGCCTTCCAATCAGAGCTCGGCACTCCGTCGTTCTCGTCGGAGTGTCTTGCCGTCTCTTGCCTCCCGAGGGACTTCGGGCGCTCCATCTCGGGCGGGCCCACCGAGCCTGTTGTGAATTCCTGTGACGATGGACTTCTACAGAAATCACGAAGTTGGGTATTTAGCGAAGTCCTTATGCTGTGCTATATGTAAAGAGGGGATTGGATGGCATTCCGAGGTAAGCATAAACAAGTAATGGCGGAACTTACTGTGGCCGAACTTCCGGTTGACCAGCCTATTGTGTAGGTTTCAATGAGCAAGAATAAACAATGCGCCTTTTAAGTTTTCCTTGGCGGAAAATCGGAATAGGTGTGTCGAAAACCGGACGCAAGACAAATCGATGTGTGTTTCTAAACCATATAGCGAAAAGGAGAGAGAAAAAAAAAAGATAAATTGTGATTGTGACGACGTTGACTTGCCACAGCGATCCAGTGTATGATATTCACGTGGATACATTTTGACACAGACATCCAAAGGCTACTTTAAATTCACGAACCCGGGCGATCATGGTAAGAAAACTAGTTTCGCGTCCGACCCTGGGGACATATTCGATTTGTTCGAATCGTTCTGTTCGCCCAGACACGACCAAGCGCTATTGTTTGACGGCGTGGGCGAGTAATAAAATCGAAAGGGTAGTACCAGTGGCTTCATGCTATGTGTCTTTAAATCCTGTCACGAACAGACGCTTTATCGCATGTTGAAAAAAAAAAAAAAAAAAATCTGGCTCTCTTACTTCGAAATTTACGTGTACCGAATCCCAATTTCAGTTTCATGGGAATGTTTTTCTTGTTTTCTTTAAGTTTGTGCGTTTTTTTTCTTTAAAGGGGCCCACCAACAGTTTTTTGACCGTGTTAAGTTTGTAAAAATCCTGCTTATTAGTTAAGGTGATTTTTGTTAGGAAAGTTTATCTTTCCAGAGTTGCGTCGGCATTTTTTTCTTTAGCTTTCTATGTTTGTGTCGGCGGGGCCAGAGCGGCCGCGTCGCGGGAGCGGTTCCCCCCGCGGTCGTTAAGAAGCGTCTCGGGTTTCGGAAGCCTGCTCGGACCGGGAGCGGGACAGCCCGCGCCTGGAGAAGCGTGTAGCTTTTAGCCGAATGTGCCTGTACATAGAGGGTTTTGCCGCTTAGTATCAAATTGTCGTTTTTTACCCGAGGTAATAATTTAGCTGTTGGCGCCAGTCAACTTTCCGAGGGAGGGCCTGGACCTGGTGGTATGGGGATGGGCGAGTCCTGGTCCGGATGGTGACGACCGATGACGTACGGTGCTCGCCCGATGACAGCCCCCG